GTGGAGGGGCAATGGGCAAGTCCCGCAAGACGATCGCGATGGATGCCCAGGCTCGCCAGGACTGGAAGGAGGACAAACATGTCAGGCTGACCAACGCTAACATCACCAAGGTAGCATGCAAGGCCGAGTTCTTGTGTGCATCGAAGAAGGTGGCCCCGTGTGTGAAAACGCGTTAAACACTCATTGCGATGACATTAGCCGCCGCGCTAGAAATTGCAATTGCATTTGAATTTGGTGGCATTGAATGCCTGTGCCCTGTATATGTGTGTTTTGTTTTAGCGCACGATTCCCAGGTTCTCGAGAAGTTCAAGAAGTTCGAGGCCGCCAAGAAGAAGATGGAGGAGGCCAAGAGCGAGTGGATGGAGTCGATCGGTGATCGCATCGATGCCCACGCTGAGTGGGAGAACGCGTGCGAGCAACACGCGAGCATCAAATCAGAGCGCATGCCGCGCTGATGGGGCCGTGTCGGGCGAGGCTTCGCAAGTGCGATGATGTGTTCAGATTCGCAATGGTCCACGTCAAATGATCAGTGGTCACGCCAATGATTAGCATGCCGAGCAAGGGGGTGGACCCATCCAAGTCAGTGTTTGTCAAGCTGCGCCCAGCCGTGGCGACGACGATGGCTGACCCCCCCCCCCGCCCCCCGAGAGGACTACCACCCCCCCGAGAGGACTACCAACCCTCGCGCTGTTGGTTTGTTCGACACCCCTGTTGACCTTTGCCTCATCGCCAAGCGTGCACGCGTCATCGTCGTGGGCTCCGTAACCAGTTTGGCTCAAACAGTTTTGCGAACTTACATATCGCTTTCTGCTGCGTAGCAGCAATGACGTCGATACGTGATGTGCTGGCCGAACTCAATCATATGATTGATTGGCATCATACCCAAGTCGGCTGCGGACTCGACGCAAAGACATGCGCCGACAACCAGATGCAGTCGCTGTCGTCGAGAGTGCGATCCTTCGGAACGATCAGCACTGACGACGCTACGCTCTTGGTGGGCACAATTCGGGACAATGCGCTCCCAGACTGGTCCACTGATCAGATTGCAGAAATCTGCACGGCGGTAGGGCAGAAGACGGGTGTGCTGACCAGCACCGCAGATAAGAAGTGGCAGAAGGTAACTGCATTCTCGCGCTTCCTTTCGGCGTCTGAGGCGACCAAGTTAAAGAGCGGCGACATGTCGCAGAAGGCGATGATCGCCATGGTGTGCAAGAGGGCCCATGCGATCGGTATGTACACTCTGTCCGAGGGGAGCAAGGGTCAACTCGCAGCGGTGGTATCGTCCCAACTCACTGGCGTTACCAACGACATGTGGTACGACATCCTGGTGCAGGTCAAGCTGAAGCTGGCTACCATGAAGGCACGGGACTGGAAACACAGAACTATATGGGAATACGATTCTCCAGACTCCCTCGAGAGCGAATCGTGTTACTATACCGCGTACCCCGAGGGAGACCCGCCACACGGGCAGGACTGGTACATCGACGAGCCCGACTTCGTGCGACTGAGCAGTCGCTTGATGAAGGGCGGCAAGCAAGCGGCCAAGCAAGTGCGGGACGACCGCCCCGCCCCGCCGCCGCCGACCGCCCCGCCTCCCGCCATTTGCGACTTCGGCGCCTGCCAATCCATGTACGGGACGATGAACGCGTACCATATGTACGCTCATCCAGGAATGGTGCCTCCGCCAGGGATGGTGCCTGGCCAATCGTCACACTCTTGGTCGCCTCCGCCAGGGATGATGCCGAAGCCCAAAGCGCCACCGCAAGATGCGCCCTCACCACAGGAGGCGCCCCCGCCTGCGGCCCCACCAGCCGCGGGAGGAATGCCCGCCCCGCTCGGCGACTTATCTGATGAGGAGGCAGCGCTTCGCAAGACAATGCGCAAGCGTAAGGAGGCCGTGGCCCTGAGTAAACGTCCAGCAGCTGCTGGGGGCGATGCCGATGGCGTCGAGGGCGCCGACGACGATGGCGACGAACTCGCCGACGAGGAGGGGGGCCCGCCGAAGAAGGTCATGAAGGGCGCCCCGCCGAAGAAGGCCATGAAGGTGGTCATGCGGAGGCCCTCGGCGAAGCCGAGGCCCACGGCGAAGCCGAAGCCGCTGCCCAAGGCCCCGCTGACGGGGGCCCCGAAGATCGAGCACCGCGCGGGGTATATACTCACGCAGCCAGACAAGTCCCAGTACAGGGCTGTCCTGGGGCGGTCCGACAGGCGCATCCGCTGGGACACGGGCAGCACGCGCCAGGAGGCTTTCACCAAGGCGATGAAGTTCATAGACGAGCGCTCGTAGCCGCTTGTCTGCTCTGCTCATCGCCGATCGCGACTTCTCGCGATTTGTTTCGCTGTGCTATAACGCTTGTGTGCATTGTTCATGTATGCCTGCATGGTGCAATGTAAAATGCAAGTCGTTGTTCCATCGTATGCGAGGGGCACCCGTCGCACAATCCTCTGTTGCGATTGCAGATATCGCATTCATGCTACCATCACTCAGTAGCAGTTTTGGCTCAAGCCATGTCGGCGGGGCCACCGAAGCGTCGCAAGACAGACGCCGAAGCACTGATTGAGTTACACAGAGGCCCATATGTATCTGAGCGGAGTCTTACATACATTCTCAAGTACGTACGAGATAATGGTATACCAGGTAACATTTCGCGTTATGCGCAATACAGCGCAAGGCAGAAATTAGCCGGTGCCGAATCGAACCAGTACGGTGACGTGCTTGTCGGCATTGATATGCCATTGAACAGCGGTAAGAGCTTCAAGAACTGGGCGTGCGCCCCTGGCCCGTACTTGTACTCGACGGCGAAACGGAGTAAGGGGTTCAGAGATCTGTTGCGCCGCCAGCTCGCCAAGCACCCGTGCTCCCTAGCATCCCCATGGCGCATCTGCTTATATTTCGACGGTATCTCACCGCGTGACCCGTTGGCCAAGGGCAAAGACCACCGAGGGGTGGATGCTGTATACTGGTCGTTTCTAGAGTTCGATGAGTTTTTGCAGGACGAAGACGCATGGCTCGTGCTCAGCACCGCTCGGGTTTCCAAAGTGAGGGACATGCCTGGAGGGATCGGGCAGTCGGTTGCAATGACGTGCAACGAGCTCATGTTCAATACGTCTGGCGGGGTGAACTTTCGTACGACTGGAGTTATCTTGGACGTGTCAGAAGCAGGGGATGCCACAAGGCACGCGACTATAATCGCGAGGTTGGGCTGCACTGTGGGCGACGAAGAAGCCCTCCGTGAATTCCACATGAACAAAGGGCACGCGGGCACCAAACCGTGTGCCATCTGCAGGAACGTGCTCAACCAGAAGTTCGACTATGCGTCGCACGACACGTCTGGTACATTTATATCGGACGCATGCCTCGACAGAAGCAAACGCGTCGTCAACACAGACGCGCAGATCGTTGCTATCTTGGAAAGGCTACGCCCCGACTGGGAGAGGCACGACCGCGGTGAGATTAGCGACAACAAGTGGAAGGAGATCACGCAGCTAAAGGGTTGGAACTTTCATCCGACGCACGTTGCCTTGGACGCCAACCTCGCCTACGGTGTCATGTCGCTCCTCTGCTTCGATTGGATGCACATCTATAGCGTCAATGGCATCGTAGCTAAAGAAGTGAAAGCTTTCACTGAGAACAAGGCGGTTTGCAAACTCTGCAGCGCCGAAGATCTCAACGACTATCTTTCAAACTGGACATGGCCCCACAAGTTTCATGCCGCCAATGCCGTGTTCGCACAGGGCGAACTACAAGCAAACGCATCGCAAGAGCTGTCTATGATTCCCGTGCTGGCGCACTTCATCAGGCAAGTCATTGCCAAGCTGCCTGATGCAGGCACCATCTCGGGTCATATTGCAAGTTTACTTGCACTGTGCGATGCCATTGATATGGTTATTCTCTCGTCCAGGGGCCTCGCGACTGCACGTGAGCTGGATGTCGCCGTGATGAAGCATTTGGAGCTACACACGCGCACATACGGGACTAAATATTGGGTTTACAAACACCATATGGCAACTCATCTTGCCGACATGTACTTCAAATTCGGACCCTTGAACTGCTTCGTCCACGAGCGGAAGCACAAAGTTTGCAAGAAGTTTGCAAAGGACCATCTGTGCATGAGGACCCCCGAGAAGTCATTGATGATGCAGCTCACGGCGCAGCACAGTTACGACATGGAGCACTTCAGCATCTCAACGACGCTGGTCGACCCCGTAGCCGCCACCAAGAAGCTCATGGGCGTCTTGAAGGAGTTGCGTCCGCAAACGCAATCGGCATCATCGAGCCTCACGGCGTGGACCAAGTACGGGCCGATCCATAGAGGAGACATATGCTTGCTGGGACGTGCTGCAGGACATGCAGCCGTGCAGGTCTGGTTCCATGTAGATTGTGACACAGAGACTGCGCCCTCAGGGCCTCTATGCTTAGTCTTGGAATTGCAGACTCGGCACGTGCACAGCGCAGATTACTATTCTAGGTACTCCATAGACGAAGATAATAATCCCGTGCTCATTCCTTTGGACTCGCTGAGGCACCCTGTGATTAACAGGCGTCTCGGCGATGCAATCACTTGCATTTGGCCAGTTGAGTATCGCAAATTGGAATGCTGACGCGTTTGCGATGTAGAAGTATACATCTTCACATCAATGAATACATCTTCAAAACATCCCGCAAGAAACACAACATCGAAATTGAAACAACATTGAACGCCCCAAAATCAAGTATATGTTAGCCGAAAAACTATCATGTTATCCGAAATAAATCAACATGCTAACTTTTATAAATGAGTTATAACTAAGTTATAACTCCGCCTAACAGTTACTAACTTCAAATGCCTTCAGGTGGACATCAGAAAACAGAAGATTCTCTCTGCCGGCAGAGCTGCGCACTAAAGGATACTCGCAACAAGCCTGACCTTAGAACAGTCTGACTGACGGCCCAACCCATGTCCCATATGATGGACGGCAGGGAGGGAGGGCGGGCGCCGGAAAATATTGAGGCCGAAATGTCAGCGAAGCAGGCTGGCCTTGAGCTGGGCCAGCTTCGCAGGGAAAGACAGCAGCAGAGGCCGCGGCACTTTCACGAGTTGCCGCATCAGGGTGCCCGCCTTCTCGCAGCGCCTGACCGAGGACGCGGCCCGCTACATCCCGCGCTTCTGAATCTCAGGGATGCTGCGGAAGCCTCTGGCTGCGTCGACCGAGGGACCTCCGTGGCGAGCACAGTGGGGCGTGATGTCCAGGCGGTTCAGGCGGAGGGCGTCGACCGTGGCGTTGAAGTGCCTCTCGTACTCGGACAGCTTCAACGGGGGCAGCGGCCGGTGGGGCGGCCGCTGCGACTTCAGCCTGACGAGGAGTTCTGCGACGAAGCTGCGGCCGGCCTTGAAGCTCGCCTGGTCCCCGAGGATCAGCGCCATGTCGTGATCGTTGTTCTTGAGCCGCGGGCGCGGCTCGGCCCCGTCGTCGGCGTGGAGCGGGGCGATGGTCGCGTGATCCTCACCACGCTGGACGGCCGGAGGTAGCCGTCGAAGCTGGTGACATGGGCCCCCGCGGCGGCCTCGCCGAGAGGCCCCTGCTGGAGCATTCGGTCGGCGATCAGCACGGCGGCCTTCCACGGGAGCGGGTCGCGGACTCGCTCGGGCCCTGCCTGGCTCCAGCCTGCCAGCGCATCGCGGCTGAGCGGGAGCGTGGAGGGCGTCCTCCGTGGGTAGCGGAGGCAGTGGATGGCCCCGTGCACTGCGTAGCGGCCCTCGGCCAGCGCCCTCCTTTCGAAATAGAGGGCGTCGAGGTAGTCCTCCATCGCGCGGTCGACGGAGTCGCGGGACGTCAGCGGGCGGCCCTGCTTCTGCGCCCAAACCTTGAACTTCGTGGAGAAGTCGAGGCACCTGGCGGCCGTGATGGGGCGGGCCCGACGTGTCTGGAGGTGAGGCAGCGGCATCTGTGCGGCGCGGGCGCGCCTCCTGGCCGCCAGGACCTCGGGTTCGACGTAGTTTCGCCGCCCGCGAGTCCCCGCGACCGGCTCGGGCCCGAAACCAGCGAGCCCCCCGTTGCGGAGCGCCAGGAGGCCTCTCGGGCGGCGAACTCCGCGGACAGCGCGGCCAGGGCCGGACAAGGCTGTCGAGGGGCCGCCCAGCAGCGGCCGCCAGGTGAGGCCCCCCAGTCGTCGGAGACCAGTGGATCGCCATGCCGCCTCCAAGCCGAGGAGGGCGCAACGGCGCCCAGAGCCTTGGCCCAGGCGCGGCACAAGGCCAGAGGGCACGCCCCAGCTAGGGGGGTCATCCACCAGCTCTGGATTGAACCACGGATGGCGACGGAGACCTTGCCCTCGAAGATTTCGCGTCGGTGGCCCCCCCAGGACATGCGCGACCGATGACAGCTAGATCGCGGTGGTCCGAAACGATGAGCGTAGGTTTCTTGTGCGCGCACTCATATACTGACAATACTAAACGAGAACCTGGATAGAGTCGGTGGAGGAGATGAACGATGCCAAGGGCCCCACGAGAACAGCTTTGACGACGCGGGGTTCTCGAGGGACCAGTGAACGCCGTAGTCCTGGCAGGGCGTCAGGAGGTCCAGAGAGCGGAGTCCCAAAGTGCACCCGCGAGAGCTCACGGGCCCGGATCCAGGAGGCTAGGACGTTGAAGACCCGGTAGCCCAGGACGTCGAAGTGCGGCCCGTTTACCAGGTCGACCGGGGTCGTGACCAGGGGCCCCAGGTCCCTGAGGGTGGCGGTGAGCGGAGCGCAGCAGCCCGCGAAGATCTCACACAATTCAAAGCCTTCTGACGAGGGCCTACCCGAAGATCAGACGACGAGTGGGATGCCTTCTTCTTGTCTGCCACCCTCGGAGCAGGCGCGGCGACAAACTCCGCCGTCTCTGAGGCTACCTCTGGGGCTGCCTCCGGGATGGGAACGTGCGCAGGCGGCGACAGCGGCGCCTGCGCGAGCGCGGGCTGGCGGCGCCTGCCTCGGCGGGCATGCAGGCCGGCCGCGCGGGCCAAGCGCCGGCGGGCGCCCGGCTCGGACAAGCCGCCAGCGGGGCCCGCGGCCGGCGGCGCCGCCCTCAAGCTCTCGGCGGGGGCTGGAGGTCTCAAGCTGGCCTCGATGGCGGCCAGGGCTGCGGGGCGGCCCCGCTGCGGTCGGTCTGGCCGCACCTCGCCTCGGTCGGCCGCCCTCGAGTCTCAGCCCGACGGGTTGCGGTCAGTCTCGATGTGCCGCTGCCGCCACTGGATGTCCGTGGCGATCTGACGCGCGGCCGCGACCCTGCGCAGCTGCCGAAGGGCGAAGTCGCGGGCGCGGCCACTCTCGAAGCTGAAGGGCGCCGCCATGTTGTCGCCGAGGCAGCCGATGCGGCGGCCGCGCATCCGGGCGCTCCTGGAGGCCCGAATCAGGCCCAGGAGCTGGGCGCGGGCCTCCTTCGCATGGATGGGGGCGGCATGCCTCCAAGCCCCTCGCGCAATGAGGGCCCAGCGGCGGCGGTCGACCGCGGCGTCGGAGACCGGCTGCGCGATGCCGTCGAGCTCGAGGAGGGCGGTGCGCGCAGGGCGGCGGTCCAGGCAGGCGCCGCTGCGGTACTCGTCGTCAAAATCGTAGGCGGGGCCGCAGACAAGCCCAGCTGCGAGGGCGGCCGTCGCCTCGGCCCCCATTGCCGAAGGCGGGCCATCCTGGAGCCCATGCGGAAACGCGGGCCCCACGTCCAGGAAACGCCACCGCTCCCGGGCACTGGGGGAGTCGAGCAGCTCAGGATTGGGCAGGCACGCTTCGTGCAGCGCGTGGCCGAAGGTGCTGGCGTCGCTGCAGTGCGCCGCCGGAGCCCACGGGGCCCCCAGGTCGACCTCCGCCAAGAAGATCAGCCCCTTGGCGATGCGGAGCTCGGCCATCAGGTCGGAGTCGAACTTGGCGAACCTCTCGCGGTGCTCGGCGATGAAATGGTAGCCCAGATCGGGCGCCGCCAAGGCCGGCCGCATCAGCAAGAAGAAGCGTGGCCCGTCGCGCCACCCACGCTGACGAAGTGCTGGAGCCCGAGGTATAGCTTCCAGGCCCTCGCGTCCGCGTGTCGAAGCTTCCGCGCCTGCCCGTCGAAGACCACCCCGACCGACTCGTAGAGACGGACTGGCTCGACCTTCTCGTGGAAGGCAAGGTCGAGGCGGTCCAGCTCGGCGCAGACCTCCTCGAGGGCAGCGCGGACGTCGGCGGGCGGAGCAGACGCCGAATATGTTCGCGTTGTCAACGTAGGGGGCGACCAGCGGCCGCCCACTGGCAACGGGCGCGGCGCGGGCTTCTTGTCCGAGATCACGCGCGGGTAGTCGGTGCCCGCTACCCGGGCGACGGCCGTCACCTCGGCCGACTCGGTGACGAGCTGGCAAAACCACAGCGACCAGCTCCAGTCCACGGGTAGGCCCCTGAAGACCGGGAAGATCCGCGTGTCACTGGAGACCTCGCCGAAGGTCCGCGAGTCGGTGATGTAGACGTCCGGGCAGTCAAAGAAGCCCGCTGGCTCCGCGAAGTCGAAACCGAACCAGTCCGCCAGATCATTGTCGACGAACTGGTAGAACCCATCCCGCAGGTCGACGCCGGCCCCGTGCGGATCAACGCCCGCCTCGGTCAGGCCCGCGCGGCGTAGCGCCTGGGGCGACAGGTCGAGGCTGGCAAGAGCCCCAGCCGAGCCCAGGGCCGAGTGAGTGGAGGCTCGAGGCTTCGCGGCCATCCAGGACCAGCCGCAGCATGCCGCCCTTCTTGGCCACGAAGAAGGCGGGCGCGGATGGCGAGCCTGAGCCCCGCGAGGCCCGCGGCGTGCAGGCGCATGGCGAAGTCCTTGCGCGCTGCCCTGTCGTGACGAAGGCGAGGGCCCCAGTAGGGCCGCGCCGGGGCGATGGGGCCCTGCGCAGTCAGCGCATCGATCTCGGCCGCTGCGCGGTGGAAGATCGAGGTGTCAGCGTGGTCCAGGGCCTGAGTGCCCACCGGCGGCAGCCTGTCTCTGAGCGGCCGCGGCGTGACAAGGCCCTGCAAGACCCGAAGCTTCGTCGGGTCGTAAGGTCGAAGATGTTGAGGCTGGCCCGAGTGCATATTCGCGGACTTGAGGAGGCCGTGGAAAGAATCGCTCGGGGACAGAGTCGGCCGAGACAAGAAGCGAGACACCTTGGCCCAGGTCCTCTGAAGAATGGAGCGCTGCGCCATTTTCGGGCGCAGCCCTGCCGGAGCTTGGTGGGCTCTCAAGGCCCGAGACGGTGCGTCGAGTGCGTTGAGGGAGCGAAGGGCCTCCCTGCACCGTCTCTCGCGCGAGGGCGACCGACAGCGGCCGCCGCGCGCAAACTCCCGCCGGCGCAGCGCCGGGAAGGGGAACGGGTCGCCGTGGACACGGCCGCGGAAGGTGCGATAGTCACCGCGATCGGCTTGGCGCCCGCGACGAGCTCGATGAGAGCGGTGGCGAGGCAAACGACGTCGGGGACGGAGTCGAGCGAACCTCCTCCCTCTGGACCTCCCCGCCGCAGCCCCCGCGGGGGCTAGCCGCCCTCCTGGGCGGCCTCGGGGCCGCGGCCGCGGCCGCGGCCGCGCCCTTGGCCCCGGCCGCGGCCGACGTCCTCGCCCGAGCCCCTGCCGCTGCCGCCGCCGTGCGCCAGATGGCCAGTCTCCTCGTGCCAGAGGCGCATCTGCTTGAGGCGCTGCGCATCGCCCCGCTGCAAGCTCGACACGAAGCTGCCGAACTCGGGGGGCAAGGCCCGCCCGTCCTCGCCCAGGGGCGCCGCGAAGATGCCCTCCAAGTTGGCGAAAACGGGCACCTTCGGGCTGCGGCGGACGGCAGTCTCCACCTCGTAGAGCCACCGGCTGAGGTACTCGACGCCTGCGACGTTCGCTGGGTCGACCTGGTCGTACGAGAAGAACATCGCCAGCGTCTCGCACAGGCGCCGGTGGATGCGGCAGACGACCCCGTTGGTGTGCACGCCCGACTTCGTCCGCCAGTCTAGGTGGTGGCTCACGAAGTCGTGGTTCGCCGACATGAGGGCCCGCTGGGGCTCCGGCGCAGCTGGCTTGCCCTGGAAAGGCCAGCCCGGGCGACTCGCGGGCCCCGAGAGCTTGGCCACCGCCTGGAAGCTCGTGTGCGGCAGCCCCCCGATGCGCTCGTCGCCCAGCAGCCGTGGGTCCCTGCCGGGGCCCGTGGCCTTCAAGCGACGCCACTCCGCCAGCTCGGCCTCCTCGACCAGGGCGGCGGCCACCCAGGTCTCGGCCGTCTCGCGGATGACCATCCGCTGCCTGTCGCCGAAGACGGCCTTGGGGATCTCGTCGCCGAAGGCCTCGTGCGCCGGGTCGGCGACTCGCCAGCGGCCCCCCTGCGGGGCGGCGCCCGCCGCCCCGACCAGGCCGAAGACTTCCAAGAGGTCCTGGCCGGCGCGGCGCATGCGGGCGAGGGAGTCGGCCCCGATCGGGACATCGAAAAAGTAGATCTCCGGCAGCAGGCGGCGCGGCAGGTCCTCGTCGCGGCCGAGGGGATCACCCGATGCTGGGACAGGTCGGTGAACTGGACTTCGAGGTCGGGCGTCCCGACGATCCATTTTCCCGGCGATGGGGTCGCGAACAGCAGGATGCGGCCGTGGTGTCGCAAGCCGTTGGGATCCTCCCAGGAGCTGATGAGCACCTGGCGCTCGGGGATGTCTAAGCTCTTAGATATTCGTCCTCAACGACGACGGAGTGACCGCAGTCCTGGGGGCGGCGGGTGGCGTGCCCACTGCAACGGGAGCGTCGTCCAGTGCAGCCTGGCGATCGGGCCCGCGGGGACGGAGTGCCGCAGCGCGGCGGGTAAGGGAGAAGCAGCACGACGTAACGAGCGTGAGCAGGCACCCCACCAGGCAGCCGAGGATGAAGAAGAGCGACAGCGACACCCTCGAGCAGCTCTCGTCCTGCGGACCGTCAAAGCCTCCCGAAGCTGCGCTCGCACCAAGGAGCACTCCTGGTACGCGTCCTGGACCACGCCCAGCGACCGCGTGAGGGTCGGGACCACGTCGTCGGTCGGCGCCGAACCCGCTCCGCAGCCCTCGACGGTGCAGACACAGGCTGGGCAGGTGGGCGGCCCGTGGGCCAGGGCGACCAACCGGAGGGTCGAGGCGAGGACTTGGTAAGTGGCCCCAATCACACCCGGATCGAACATCCGGGATTCTCTTGAGCCGCTAAAAGGCAGCGGAACGGACAAGCGTCGCTGCGGGCGGTGAGCTACACTGCAGGGGGCCAAGCAAGGTCAGAGACAAATCGTATGCACACGAAGTCCTCTCTGCCCCTCTCTCTCTCTGCTCGCCTCTGCTTTCTACTCTCCAACAGACACCATCTCTACTATCTACTCTCTCATTCAGACGGTGGTCGCGCAAAGATACACATTTTTCGCCGCCGCAACCATGCAAGAACACCAAAACCTGGGAACCTTACAGTGCCGCGGACGACCCAGAACTGGGAGCCCGAGAGCCAAGATTCTGGGACCACGAACCCAAGAACCAAGTCATCTACCAAAATCGGCCAAGACTTGGAGCCCGGAGCCCAAGACCTGGGCAGCATGCCGAAATCGGCCCGGTACCTACGTCTAGTCTTTCAGTGCCGCTACGACCCGTTCAGTGCAAGCACTGATTTGGAAAATACATAACGCTTTTTTGACAGAGATGGTGGGGGTGCTCTGGCACGCGCCGTGCACCTCGCGGGCGTCGCGCACCTGGCTGGCGTCTGCATTTGATCTCGATTATTGTCGCTGGCGGCCCTTGCTCATGCTGAGACTCGGGTGCTACTCATCTGTTGGGGGGGCTGGCGGGAGTGGGCGAGTCGGCTTGCGGCATGTGAGTGGGCCTGCAGGATTGGGGGGATCGTGAGCGGTCACGGTATGGAACATATTTTGACCTCCTGGGGGGGGGAACGACGCTAATTGAGAATCCCCCCTCGTTGAGCGATAGCCTTCAAGATGGCCCCCAAACTGCCCGAAAAGCCCCCAAGAACGCCCCAAGAGGGCACTCAGAGAGCATCAACATAACCCTACAAGGTCTCCAAGAGGCTGCCCGAGGTCTCCAATTTTCTCCAAACGAGGCTCCCCCGATCAGGGCAGCACCTATGGGCATCGCTCCTGGATGGGCTGGTAGGGATTCGCGAAGCGACAGCAAATTCCCTTCAGGAATTTATTTCAAGTGTCCAGGACCAACTGTAGGCTACTTTTTCTTCGTGCTCCCAGAACTCCACTTCCAGCACTGATTTCGAGTGTCCCGAGCCAACTGTAATTCACTTCGGTATCTTCGTATTCCCAGAATTCCACTCCTGGGACTTATTTTGAATGTCTGGAACACACTGTACGTAAGTCACTCCGATGCGTTCGTGCACGCAGAACTCAACTCCTGGTCTTGAATTTGCGTTCGCACCCGGACACCCCTGGCATCATAGCATCATTGCTATCTCTGGTATCCCTGGCACCGTGGCATCCCTGGCATCCCTGGCATTCAGGCACAGGCCCCGCAAGTCTAACAATCGCACAGGTCCCACAGGCCCCGCAAGTCGGACACGCTCCACAGGTCACTCAGGTCCCGCAGGCCTCACAGGTTTCAAAAGTCCCACAGGTAGCACAGGTCGTACAATTCCCACAGGGCTCACAAAGCCCATACGCCCCACGTGTGGCACTGGTCCCAGGGCTCCCGCAGGTCGCACAAGTCTCTTATGTTGCACAGGCTCCACAGGTCCTACAGGTCGCACGGGTCCCAACTCTTCCACAGGTACCATGGGTCCAGCATATCCCACAGGCCGCACAGGTTGCAGAGGCATCCTGGGATCTTGCGATGCTGGCATTCTGCCATTCTTGGCAGCCCAGGACCTTGCCATGCTGTCCTCTAGCCCCCCTGGCACCCTTGCATCATTGGCCAGGCCGCCTGGCACCCTTGCATCATTGGAATATTGGTGTCCTGGCACCCTGGCTTCCTGGCGTCCTAGCATTCTGGCACCTTGGCATCCTAGCGTATTCCCCATCTTTAGTCGTCGAGTACCCTATCCCGCTGAAATTTCTCATGCGAGGCCCTACCTTCGGAGTGAGCTTGAAAACCAGGGGCGGGGGGAGCGCTCCCGAAAAGCGCCCAAGAGGCTTCTAGAGGCCACCAAGAAGCTCTAAGGAGCTTTCGTGAAGCGCCCACGAGGTTATCCCAGCAGGAGCCTCCGCAACAAAAACAAATGAGGAGAAAGTCTGGAGGGTTCGCAAGGTAGGCGAGAACGAGGAAGGGGACGAGAAACTATGAGGAACGGAGAAGGAATCCACATAGTATAGCGGTGATGACGGCAACGGCACCAAGGTAAAGATATTCAATAATGTTAGATTTATCACGATACGGCGTTATATTTGTCTAGTTGTATGACGCTAGCGGTACTTATTTTGACACGGCAACAGGGAGCTGTCGTCATCTTTATAAGCTGACCCCTCTTCCGCTCTCGCATGCCACCCGCATGCCAAATACGAGGACCAAGGCAAATGGCGCGAAGTGCCAGTGCAGCATTGCACACTCTTACCAGTACGCACACAACATTGAGCGGCCCTTTGACGACGTCCTAAAACAAAAGCTTGGCTCCAGCATGTGATGCTAATGGCATGCGGTGCTGTGATACTTTGGATGGCGTGCGCAATATGCCTCGTGCGCTGCTCCTCCCGTCGAATACACTTGAGAACGTTCTCGACAAGGCGCAGCTGATGCAAACCACCCTGGGCCTCGGAGACGGCCGACAACACCCGAAGACTGTCGACCCCCCCCTCCCAAACGCTCCGCGCAACTTCGCCTGCAGCCCCCCGGGGAGGGTGAGGATGGTGAGGAAAGGGGGCCTCCTCCTCCTCCCCCTCTTCCTCCTCCTGAGCGCACTGAAGGAGCAAAGCTCAACCACTCTCCCGCAGCAGCGCCATGCCATGCGTGGTGCCATGGAGGGAGGCAGCGTCGCGACTCACGCCCTGAGCAAGTGCAAGGGCGACCGCAACGGCCCAACGAGCAGCAGCGCTCCGTGCAACTCCGCCAACAGCCCCCGCCACTCCGCCACGAGCTCCTCCCGCACCCTGTCGTAGTGCGGCCTCAGGGCCTGCGCCGCGACGCGCGCGGCGCCGCGGCAGCGGCCCTCCTCCTCCCCCAATATTTCCCCCCTACGGTCGAGCACGTTTGCTTAGCGTGTGGTGGCGGCGGCCCCACCGACACAGTATGTCCTGCAAGCGGATAGCGTGTCGCTGCGCTCCGCGGGGCGGGCGGCTCGAGAACGACACGCTATCCAAAAATCCTCGACCGTAAATTAAGCCCCAGAACCAACGGTGCACGCCGGAGGCGCTTCCCGTCATCAACCACCGTGTCTTCCAGCATGAAGTGGGGTGCCCCAAGGCTCGTGCAGTCTGAAGTGCTGAAGGGATTGAAGCGTCCTTGAGGGCTGGGAGTACATGCTTCGTCGCGTGAGCTTTGGGGACACTTTGCCAGCCTCGAACTTCCCCCAACATCCCCACGAGTGTCACGATAAACGCCCCAGTTGTTCCAAGACCGCCGCGAACGAGACGGCCCAAAAACGTCCAAGACGTCCGATGCAGCCCCACGGAGGCCCAAGAGGCCCGACATAAGCCTCAAGAGGGCTCACGAGGTCTCCAAGCGACCCGCCGAGAGAGCACCACGAGCCAACATTCAATGATTTCCCATAGTTCTTTGACGGATGTTAGGGCTCTTGCCTTCTCGAGTCCCGACACCGAAAGGCGACCCAAGAGGCCCCTAAAATGGCTACCAGACGGCCCAAGAGGGCAAGAGAGCTCCAAGAGGGGGAACACGAATCGACATTTCGAGCCCTCCGACCCAAGATAATCCCCTATGACCGCCAGCAGGCCCCCAAGTGGCCTCCCAGAAGCCTCAGGAGGCCCCCAAGAGGCGCAAATCACACCTAAAGGAGTCCCCAGCAAGCCTCCGATAAGCCCCCAGGCCCCCAAGATACCCCAGAACCGCCTCCAAAGCTCCCGAGAGGCCTCCCAAAATATCCCCACAAACATCCAAGAAACCTCTGGCTTGCAACCCACGCCCAGTGGCGGGATGGACTGAAGGTTTTTTTGTTGTTCCAGGGTTGCGCGAGGCGTCTCAAGATTGACAATACAAATCCCCACTGAGAGGCAAAAGGTGGGCATCCACCTTTCATGGATTGCCGCCGGGAGTGAGCACTACACGGACAGCATAGACGACGTGCGAGCCCGTTGCAACACGTCGCAAAAGCCGGCACGCCGACGCGCAGGAGGACGGACAATTTCTGCGACAAAGTCCACCCCCCCAAAAGTGTCGTAACGGCGCTGGGGCGCCGAGATGGGCAATTAGCTAAGTAGCATGCGCACAACATGCAATACGAAGCATACACACGTCTGCAACTGCATGCATTCACACGCCGAGTCGGCCCCTGAGGCAGAAGCAGACATCGCTGTAAACCGCGCAGAGATATTCAAGCGAAGCGCCTACAACTCCCTTCCAATACAGCCCGGAGTCATGTGCCAACGCGAAGCGCCTCCATCGCACGACATACAAAACAAGACGTGCTCGAGAAAATCAGTTCTTCCCGAAATGGTATCACGTCAAGCGGACTGAAAGCATCGGGAGATCGTCTGGCTCCAGTCCGGCACGCATGCTGACAAAGGGCGTCTTCTTGGCAGCCTCGACGGCCGAAGCGCCGGCGGATCCGACTGCGCCGGAAAAAAGATGCTGGAGTGCTCGGCATCGATCTGCGCCTGGCGAAGGGTTCCTATCGCGAACCTCTTCAGGTCCGCTGCCTTCGCAGCGTCGGTCACCTGCACGATCAGCGGATCACTGTCGCACTCCATGTTCAACTCATTTGCGGCACGCAAGAATAAGGGTAGATGCGCTGGCATGCCATCGATGAACTTGGCTAGGGCGCCCGCGGCGGTGCCGAAGATGACCTCGTTGACGACCACGGTGCTAAGGCCAAAGGCCGTGCTGGACACCATGCCCGCTGCAGCGTCGTGTGCCCCAGCTCCGTTGCTAGGAGAAGCGCCATTGGCCATCGCGGCGAGCTTCGGGAAGTCAGGCACTGGCGGCTGATGCGGCGGGCTGCCGCCATCTAGCGGCTCGGGGGCCATCGTCGGCTGCTGCGCGGCCCCGCCGCATCCATGCGACGCCTTCGCTCCATCTGCGCGCCCATGCGCATCGAGAGCGCTGACTCCCGCGCCAGCGGCGGGGGAGGCTGCGATGGGCTCCATCGCCCGACTGGCGGCTGGGACACCAGCTGCTTCGTCGCGTAGTTCACGATGGTCGGAATCGCTGTGATCTGGACCGTCTCGTCCGCCTCCAGCGCCTGCCACGTGGATGGGGGCGGTAGGGCAGCCCGCGACACCAGGGCCGAGCCACGCGGCCCAGCCGTCTGGCACCCACACCTGCACCCAGCGCCCCGACGTGGGAACACCGGGCCTGGCGGGCGGCAGGCAGCCCTGCCGCTCGCCTGCTGCGGCCTGCGCCTGCGCCATCTTCTGCAGCGCAGCGCCCTCCAGGCTGGTGGCCTGCGCCGCCTCGGCGCCGGCTGCGGCCATCGCGGCCAAGAAATCCCACGTCAACCCCACGCTGACGACGACATGGTCGGAGTCGCCAAACTGCCCCCTCTGGGCGGGGCACTTGAGCCAAACTTGAGCCTTGAGCCAAAACGGTACTTGAGCCAAAATGGACACTAAATCCGCTGCCCCTTCTGGCTTGCCACAGGGTACACGGCGTGCCATTTTTGGTGGCCGTTTACCTTTTGACAATTTCCAGTGGCCTTCGGTTTGATGCGACGGCTGCCCGGAGGAGCGTATCACAAGCCTCTCCCGTCGGCTTTCCGCCCCGTGAGGGCCTCGAACTTCCCAGGTCGTTGGTCTTCTCCAAGACGGCCAACGTGGTCACCAAGACGGCTACGATTGCCCCAAGAGAGCCCACGATGGCTCCACGGCGTCTTCAACACGGGTCGGGATGCCCTCAAGACGGCCCAAGGTGGCCTCAAGAGAGCCCCAAACGGCCCAAGAGGCCTTTGAGACGGCCCAAGAGGCATCGGAGAGGATCTCCAGGACGGCCCTCCGAGGCCATAATCATTGCTTCCCATTGGTGTTTGAAGGACTCAGGCGTTCGCTAATTTTCGGCTTCCCGACGGTCCAAGACGGCCCCAGAGGCCACCTAGATGGCCCCAAGAGCGCCCAAGAAGCCTCCGAGATGACCCCAAAGATGGCCACAAAAGGCCTCCAAGACGGTCCCGGAGCGCCCCAAAAGGACCCCAAGTTGGCCCAGAGAGGCCCCCAAAGCGGCTTCCGACGGCGTCAGACAGGCCAGGAACGCCCTCAGACGGCCAAAGAGCCGCCCAGGGAACCTCGAAAGGCCGCCAAGAGGGCCAAGGAAGCCTCCCAGAGGCATCCAAGAGGCCTCTAGGAAGCCCACAGGAAACCCAAAGAGTGTTCCAACAGGCCTCCTCTTCCTTTTTCCTCACTCTTGTTCTCGTTCTCTCTCTCTCTCTCTTTCTCTCTCTCTTTCTCTCTCTCTCTCTCTCTTTTTTTTCTCTCTCTCTCTCTCTCTTTCTCTCTCTCTCTCTCTCTCTCCCTCCCTCCATCCCTCTCTCTTTCTCCCACGCGTGTTCCCCGAAGGGTTTCCACGCTGGCTGTGGGAACGCACGGTCCGATAGCATGGCCGAACTCTGGACGCAGCGTTCGGCCACGCAGACGTTTCCAAAGGGCAGGGGGCGGTGGTGATTCGCCGCGGGCGTCTTTGATCCGCCGCCCCCTGCTGGCTTGCCAAAATTGTGCGCGGCGTGCTGGAAAGTATGCGTGTTTCTGCATTCCGGGGAAAACTCCCAATGGAGGTCTCGGCCGATCGCGCCGGCCATCCGGAAGGGCGCGCATGGCAGGGAGAAACTGGAGAAGTCGCCTCCAAGACGGCCAATATGGTTCCAAGGTGGTTTCCAAGATGCCTCCCAAACGGCTGAGATGGCAACAAGAGGGCCCAAGACAGCCAAGATTGCCCTAAGACTCCGAGAGCCCAAAATGGGCGGCGGTATCTGCGGGAGCTATCTGATCTCTCAACCGAAACCTGTTTTTCTCGAGCCTCGCGAGGGGCTGCGGAGCGCAGCAAATCATATCCTTCTGAAAAAAATATCAGGCTAGGAGGCGATATGACACGCACTCGTCCTCGGCAGATGTCGCAGACCGACACTTGACGGAAACACGAAATAGCGCTCCAGCCCACACGGTATCATATCTCGATTCTCAACCTGCTACGGGCTATGGTCGTCGTCCCGACGTCTGGCCCTAACAGGCTGGTTTCAATGATTAGAAACTCTGTTCTCTTCAGTAAATAGAAGCTCTGTCCTCGTCACGGCTTCGAGCTGCACGATGCCCGGCTACGCTCTGCACGTGGAAACCAACGAAGCATAGCAATCACTGTGAAACGCACAACTGCTGCAACCTCACTCTGCCCATGCCTTGGTAACCCCCTTGCGAACTCCAAAGTCATGGGCAGCCTCTTCACTAGCTCGTGATGACGAGCGGGATCCAAAGCCTTGGTCATCAGATCCGCTACGTTCTCTGCCGTTGGCACCTTCACGGTGGGCACCTCTTTCTCGGCAACTTTCTCCTGCAACCACAAGTACTTCACATCCAGGTGTCTGATGCGTCCGACACCCAGCCTCGAGCATATCCCGATGGCGGCCGTGATGTCTTCACACACTTTCACTGCCATCTGGATGCCCATCTCCTCGAACAGGTTCTTCGTGAAGATCCCCCGCGCAGCGCAGTTGGTCATCTCCACGTACTCAGCTTCTCCACTGCTCAGCGCACGTGTCGCTTGCTGACCAGCCCAGCTGTCGATGCACGCACTCCCGATGTACTCGAAACCTCCACCACGGCTCATGCGGGCTTCTTCATCTCCAGCCCAGTCCGAGTCCGTCACGATGGTCACCTCGCTCGGTAACTCCCGGCACTCAAAGTTCTACGTCATCTGCAGGTGCGTCGCCAAGTAGGCAGCCAACCGCTTGAGCTCCAGCTCATCGAGCACCAGTGGCTCCTGCATCCCACGCATGATCCAGCTCGTCGCGAACTGGATGTCAGGCCTGTCCGCTGCCAGGTACAGTGCCGTCGGCGCCGCCGGCTGGAACAGCTTCCCCTCTGCGTGGCGCAGCTTGTCCAACGCCGTTGGCACCTCCTTCCCCATGCTCTTGGAAGCCGGCGAGATCTCCCTCGCCGCTGGCAGCTTCCCGCAGGCCTCGACCGCGGTCCTCGCGTGCTTCGCGTCGCTCTCCCAGTGGAACCCCTTCTCCGTCCAGCGAACCGTCCTCTTCAGGAAATGGCCAGACGTCGCTTCACCTCCACCTGCTGCGGGCCCCACGAACGGCGACCGCTTCACCTCGTACTTCGCCTCCAGGATCTCGCTGGGCCACCTCAGGTCCTCAACCGCCCCAACGGCCATGAAGTCGTCTCCGTGCACCACGATGTAGATGCCCTTCTGGACGTGGTAGAACACTATCTCCGTCACCAACATACGGATGAAGCCCTGATCAATCAACGTCCCAATGACCTTGTGCTGGAACAGCTTGCTTGCTCTCCTGGTCCCGTACAGCGCCTTCCGCAACTGCCATACTACGTTTGGCTCCTCCTCACCTGAGGGCGGCACCACGCATGCGTCCTCGTCCATCTCAGCGTGGAAGAACGCGTTGCTGATGTCCCAGAGCCCAATCAGGTAGACTTTCATGAGGTTCCTGAACGTCGCTGCCAGCACCAGTGCCAGCCTGACGAACTTCAGCGAGGGCGCCCCAGCGAATGCGTCATCGCGCGCCTGGTAGGCAACCTTCATGGCCACGAACCTGCACCGCACAGTGTCGGTGCCCACCATCCAGTCCTGCAACCATTTGCCCCTGGCGAGCATGCCCTTCGCCTCCGCGACGTGCACCCGCTTGAACACTTCATGCTCTTTCATCTTGGCACGCTCTCGAGCTCTTCCTTCTCGTACCTTCTCCGCTGGAAAGCAGCTGTCCAGAGCGCGCCCCCTCGACGTTGGAAAGGTCCTTCTCCTCGCACGGTTCCGCGGCGTACTCGCCGAGATCCACAGCGCACAGCTCTATTGGCATGATGTTTGCGGCCAACCCGCCGACTACGCGCGCCTTCTTGCCCTCTGGCATCTCCTCCTTCTCTGAGACCTGTCGCTTCACTCCTTCGGTGATCTCCGCGGGATCCTGCACCATCATCTCAACGCTTTCCTCCTCATGGTCCATCGCCACGTCTTCTGCTACGCTGGGAGCTGCTACTGCGGCTGCCGCCGCGGCTGCTGCTGCTCCACGCCCTGGCTCCTCTGCTGGTGCACGCTTCGACTGCTTCCTGACCGCTTCTCGAGCTGGTGGCGGTGCTTCAGCTCGCGCTCCAGCCTGTGCTGCCAGGCCCTTCGCAATGTCCTCCGCGTCCAGCAAAGCCTCCAATCTGGCTCTGCACTCCGCAGTGCGGTGCTGGCCCGTCTCGTCGCAAGCTGGGCAGCCAGGCGTCCGACCCAACCGGTTGAGAACCCCCTTGGTCAGGTACCTCGGCCTGTTCATGGCCCCCCGCGCCAGGAGCGTGGCCTTCGGGTCGAAGGGCGTGCATATGATCTGGCTGAAGAGGTTCTTATTCCACCGCTTCTCGCCGGGCCTCCTCGCGATCGATCTCGCAAAGACCCGCCCCCGTGGTGTGCCGATCATGTGCTCGTCACTGACGTTCGCCTTGCCGAGCCAGATGCCCTTGTCCCATCTGGCATTTATCTTCCCGGCGGCTCCTGGGGGTAACTTGTGCATCGCGGTCTCCGCGAACTCTGCGATCTGACCGTGGTAATCTCGTCCTTCGAGCCGACGATGCGGTGTCAGCCCATCTCCTCTCACGGTAAGCCTCGTGAGGATCCAGCCTGCATGCCTCGCCAAACAACTGCTGATCGGTTCGCTTGGCTTCAGCTCCACTTTGTAGCGTGCATTGACGGTGTACACGAGCGTGCGAATGAGCTGCTGGACTTTGCCTCCAGCCGCTTCGATCGGACCCTTGGACTTGGAATCGAACCTCGGGCCGACCTGCAACACCGTCTCTTCGTCTCGCGCCGCTGCCGCCGCTCTCGCAGGCGCCGTGATCGCGTTCTCCTGACCACTCGACACCACCATGCGCTTGCGGCCCCAGTACTGCAACGCCTGCACCAGGACCTTGATGCCGTACTCCACCGTGCCCTTCTCCATGACGCTCGCACTCTCGATAGCCGACGACTCGAAGTCCAGGCAGACCAGCAGCGTCATTGCGTCACCGGTGCCCTTCATTCCTGGGAACGAGTAGTCGATCCAGACCTGGGGCGCGTCCCTCTCCTGGTCCGTCCCGAGAAGAACTTCTCCGCGTCCTCCCCCGACTGCGCAAGCCTTGCACCGCGAACGATCCAGCCAGTGGGTGAGTAGATGTAGTTGACGTTCGGCAAGCGGTGGCATCACTGGAACGCTCTCGCAACCCTGCTCTCAGGACTGTCGCGCAGCTCGATGGCGCCCCTCTGCTTGCGAACAATCTCCAGGTGGTCAGCAGGTTGAGCATCTCCAGGTTCTGCTGCCGCTGCCGCTGCGGCGGGTGCCGCTCCTGCTGCTAATGAACTCGCCGCTCCTCCTGGGCTAACTCCTGCTGCCTCGCCTCCTGCTGGTCCTGGCTGTCGCCCATCCCGATCGACTGGAATGGGTTGAGATACAGCTGGCTGTCGAAGCGGGGCGATCGTGACTGCTGGCTCGCTAGCTGTGGCCACGCGCTTCACCTTCATGAACCAGATTCGGTCCTGCTGCACCTATGGGAAGATCCGTCCACTCGGCGCCTCCAGCACGCTCGGGCACACCCCGTACTTGGGCACGAAGCCTGCCTCCAGCAAGTCCTGCTGCGCCACGATCGCGCACTTGACGTTCGTGACCTGGAACCTCATCTTGAAGATATCCTGCTGCTGGTCGGGCGCCGTCGCCGTGACGATGACTTCGCGCGCGCCGTTGTGGATGGTCGATTGCCCTGTCGCGGCCTCCAGCGGTGGCAAGTCTTTCGGCGCAATCCAGTTGCCACTGCCCTGCGGCTCAGCCTCTACGAACTCCATCAGACAAGTAGCGATGCCTGCGCCGCTGTCGATCATCAGGTAGTCCGCGTCATCGCCTTCAAAGCTATTCGCACCTGCGGCCACCAGCATGCTCACGTAGATGGGTCCCTCGTCGTCTGTGTCGGGCCACGGGTGCGCGCGCTCCTCTTGAATGGTGGTCGGCGTGCTTCTGTGCTTCTCACCTGTTGAAGGGCCATCGCCGGTCCTACCGCCAACGATGGGCCGACTGTCGACTGCGCCAGTCTCCTCGCCATGTCCAGGTGATGTGCGCCAACATGCTGATGGGAATCGCGTTCGCGAATGATGTCGAGTCGTTCGGGCCGATGGTAGACGTCGCGCATCCAGGTTGAACTGTTTGCTGCTGAGGAACGACTGAATTAGCATTGCTGATCTGGCTCGCCTGCCTCTGATCGTAGCGCCTCTTTCTTCTGCGCGTCTCCGTCGCGTGTCCTACCATCATGCACCAGTCGCACCACGGGTCGTTCTTCGCAGATTTGAACTTTCCTTTGACGTCGGTACCTTCACCTTTGGCTTTGCCTCTGTCGCCCTTGACTTTACCTTTGGCACTCTTGCCCTTGCCTTTGGAATATTTCCCGCCTTTGTCGTGCCAGCTGCGAACTGCATCCACGTCCACCGGCACCGCCTGACCGATGTCCCGATGCCAAACGCGATGGTTCACGATGTAGTCCATGATCTCCTTCCTGATGTCCTTATACCTCATGAACCTGAGTTCGACGACAGGTGCGACTCCAGAACTTCATCTCCCTGTCCTTGGACCAGCACGTCCGCCTAGATAAACTCTGGCAAGATGCCCCCGGCCTGCTCCTCACACTCGGTGACCTCGCGCTCCCACGTTTCGATGGCCACTCCGTGGCCGACTCCAGCCATGAACGTTATGTTCAACAACTGGTTGAGCAGCGCACCCTGTCGTCCTCTGACCCTGGGTTCGCACTCCATGATCAACTGCCTCCAAGCCTCGAAACCGTTGGAGTTCTTCGTGTTCTTGAACAGCTTGAATCCACGAGACTCCATCGTCATGCTCACCGCCAGCAAGTGGAACAGCATCCTCGGGCGCTTCTCGTCTCCAGCTTTCTCGTCATTGAACGATCTGCCCATGACCACTTCTTCGCCCATGGTCGTACTCCCATCCATCAGCTCGATGGTGCGCTCGCCCTGTGATGCAACATAGCTGCGAAACAAGAAACACCAGTCTGACCAAGACCCCTGCTTACCATCGAACCTGTCGGGATTCTTCGTAATCTTCGTGTCGACCGGCGTCGCGTCGAGCTCCGCCGTCGCCGCCGCGGCCGCTTCCGCCGCAGCTCCTGCCGCCGCGCCGCCATCAGCGGCGCGAGCGGCTGCCTCTTGAAGTTGATCCGCTCGATCCCGTTGGCGTCGAGCTTCCCGGGCCAGCTCTACGTTCGCCTGCCCGAGCGCCTCGAGCCTTCTGACGATCTCTTCTGGCGTCGCCATCTTCGATGTCCTGAGTGGCGAGCTGGCCCAGCTTCTTGATCGCGCGCAGCCACCTGCCGAGCTCCGACCGGCATCCTCTTATCTTGCCGAGCGATATCAGGTGAACCGTGATCCTCTTCCAATCGTTTTTTTTTTTTTTTTTTTTTTTCTTCCTCTCTCTCTCTCTCTCTCTCTCTCTCTCTCTCTCTCTCTCTCTCTCTCTCTCTCTCCGCCGCTGCTGATGCCGATCAGCTCGATGCCCTCGTTCTCGCCAGCCTTCGCTGGCGATGTCGCTGTTTCCGTGGGTCGTCCAGCGCCGAAGCGCTCCGCTACCGTCCGAGAGCCCAATATGGGCGGCGGCACCTGCGGGGGCTATCAGATCTCTCAACCGAAACCTTTTTCTCGAGCCTCGCGAGGGGCTGCGGAGCGCAGCAAATCATATCCTCCTGAAACATTACCAGGCTAGGAGGCGATATGACACGCAACGACGGCCCAAGAGGCCCTCCAGACGGCCCGAAAGGCCCCGAATACGTTCCCAGAGGGCTCAAAGGGGACCTCCAGGAGGCCAGAATCATGAATTGCCAGCCAATCCTTCAATGATTTTAACGTTCTCGCTTCTTCAGGCTTCCGACTCTCCAGGGCGCACCCACGCGCCAGAGCGGAGCAACGCAGTCCCCATGGCACCAGGCCGCCCACGGGACAACCTTGCTCTGCGATGCTGTTCGGAGGCGATCCAGAGAGTCGGCAGCAAGCCACCTACCCCCTCGGTTCGGCCTCCACCCTGGCGCGAGAACAGTGCACAAGACAGGCGGGCTGGTACGCAGCAAAGCTGCAGAACGCTAGCGCCACTCGACGCGCCAAACGGCACGGGCAGAGCAGCGCAGCGAGCCTAGGATGGGCAGGAGTGAATGAATCCTGACGCGTGCCGAGCCCCGAGGGGCACGGCCTATGCCGCGGGGCCCCTCTCCCCTCGAAGCTCGCAAGCTCGTCGCAGGCGTTCGTGATCCTCGGGCCCGCCTGGCGCCGCGAGCACGCGGCGCCGCGCTCGGCAGACCGATGGGCCCCGAGCCGCAAGGTGCCACAACTACAGTAAGGCAGATACCGCGCGAGCGCGGCAAAAGAAATGAGAGAAAGTTGTCGGGGCAGACCGCGCCCGTCAGCGCCTGCCGCGCGCCTCGCGAGCTGCGCGCAGCTTGGCGCCAAAGGCGGCGGGGGCACCGGGCATCGGCCCGTTGTATATGGCCCGCAGCGCCACGAGCTCCGCCCGCTCCGAAGGGGGCTGCTGCTGCTCCTCGGGCAGCTCGGAGCCGCGCTGCTGGGGGGCGTCGGACTGCTGCTCGGAGGCCGCCCGGGTGCCCGCGCGCGTCGGCGTCTCGGCGAGGGCGGGCTCCGATGCTGCCTTGTCCTGGGCCTCCGACTCCTGCTCATGGACCCGCTGGGAGTCCGCCCGCGCGCTATCCTCCTCGAAGTGCACCGCCCCCGCGGGGCCCGCGGAGCCGATCCCGACCTTCTCCCGGAGGTCAAGCTGTGCAACTCCTGGCTGCGCGCACCCGCCGTGCTCGACAGCGTAATCCGACAGGTCGCTGCCGAGAGGCTCATCATCTGCAGCCTCATCATCATCGGCCGAGTACCTTTCGCACTCCACCCCCTTCACCGCCGCGGTCGGCGGGCAGGCGCTGGGCGCCTTCGGGCCGCCGCCCCGCCCGAGCTCCTCGAGCCTCCACTGCCGCCGCTGCGCGCCAGAGGCGAGGGGTGGAGGAACTGCCTCAGGCGCCGGCCGCGCACGATCCGCCAGGACGAAGGCAGTGCCGCGGGTCGCGGCCCTCCCCCGCCTCGCAGCCGTTCTCCACGCTGTGCACGTGGCGGGCTCGGCTGCCTCCGTCGCCAGGAGTGCCCGCGCGCTCGCCAGCGCGGCGGCCGACGCCGTCGGTCCTTCCCGCGTGGGCCGACGGCCGCGCCTCCGCCGCCGCCTGACCGACTCTGGTTTGGCGGGGCTCGACGCCGCGCCAACGCCGGCGCCCAGGATCGCGTCCGTGCACTCCTCGTGCTCGCCCTCGTCCTGCCCATCGTTCGGCTCGTCGCGCTGGGTGCCGAGGGGCGCCTGCACCTCGCCCGCGCTGAGGCCGCCCTCGCCCGTGCAGACGTCGCCGAGGGTGCCGTCGTCGACGCGCCTGGAATCGTCGCTCCGCGCTTCGTCGCCAGCGCGCTCGCCGAGCTCGGGCTCGGACTCGAACCTGGCCTCGTCGGGCCCGCGATCGCTGTCGTAGCCCTCGAGCTCGTCGTCGCCGACGCCGTGCTTGATCTCGCGCTGGTTGTGCAGCTGCACGTGCTGCTGCTCGCCCACGTGCTGCTGGTGCCCGTCATCGTCGTTCTTCGCGTCGCCGTTGTAGCCGCACTCGTCTGCGGGCGGCGCCATGCTGCGGCGCCTCGCCTCCAGGCTGGGTCGTCATCCCGCCTCAGGGGGAGGGCGGCTTAGAGCCCCCAGATCCTTTGGGGCGAGGGCGCCAGACCGCCCGCGGCGCTGGCTGGCCTGCGGCCGCTCGAGCGCGGCCTCGAGGACCTCGGCGCCATCGCCGAGGAAGGCGTGGGCCCCGAGGCCCCGCGTCGCCCGCTCGGCGCCCGAAGCCCTCTCGCCGCGGATCAGGCGCGCCAGGGCTGGCCTGATGGCCCGAAGCCGCAGGGCGAGCTCGGCGCCCTCCTCGTCGCCAACTCCATCTGCAGGCCAGCCCCCGATCAGCTCAGCTCTGACGCGCGCCGCGGCGGCCGCGGCGGCCGCGCCTCGCAGCGCCCCCCGCT